CTCTCTCTCTCTCTCTCTCTCTCTCTCTCTCTCTCTCTCTCTCTCTCTCTGTCAGCCTGAGACAGCTAAATGTCCCCCCTCTTGTGCAGGTTAATGGGATCCTACGGGAGCCTGAAGGGGGGCAACATCTCGGAGGGGATGGAGGATTTTACAGGAGGCATTGCGTACTCCCTCCCAGTCAAATCCCACACTCCTGCCGTTCTCTGGAGGTCTCTGGGTGCTTCCCTGTCGCGAGGCAGCCTGCTCAGCTGCTTCATCCAGGTATGTTCACCTTGAAACAAGTGTGAGTTCAGAGGTTCACGCCTGAAGACGTTGGCGCTTGTGTTTGCTGCAGGCTCAAAGCTACCGGGAGGTTGGCCAGGTGACGGCAGACGGGCTGGTGAAGGGTCACGCATACGCCATCACTGACACCGACAAGGCAAGTTTAAACCAGRGAAAACACACAGGTCTGGATTGATTTTTATTATTGTAACATCATATTTTAGAGACTTATTATGAGCTTTAATAAGTTATGCAGTGCGGTTCTGTGTGTAGATATTATGAACAAATACCATCTTACCTGCTGTGAACAGCGTTAGTTTTAAGAAAGGGATCAAACTGATGAGCTGAATCTCAAAATTTATACAAGTTCTCAGGCAGCCACTGGTTATTAAACTTTTATGTGGCTATTTGTTTTTGCCTTACTGAGTCATTTCTGCAGAAATGTCATATTCCTGCGCTACAAACTGCACTGGAAGTGCATCTACAACAGGTATAATATTATTTGTTCACAACTCTTCCACAAAACCACACTTCAAATAAGTGATTAAGACTCGTCTGTGGACAAACAGGACACAACACAAACAGCTTCAACAATTATTACGTTTTGCGTCAATTTATGACTGCTGTTTTTTACTTTTTATTTTCCGGATTGCGGCAAAAATATGTTGATTGCAGTCGTCTTTATGTTTTATACGAATTCATGATATTATCTCTGTCTGAAATTACTGTTCTGTTCCTAATTTTCTTTTTTATACGTAAAAATATATATATATTTTTCTCTGTTTGAGACCAAACAGTATTTTTGTTTGTCTGAACTTACAACCAACCAACAAACACAACTCTGTCACTTTTTGAGGTCTGCCAGGGATTAAAATATTTCATTTAGTGATTTTTTTTGCAGGATTTATGACTCACAGATGCAAGAATTGTTCATCCTTCTCATCCCAACATCTGATACTAAAACATCTTTCCTCCAATTTTGTTTTTGAGTCAGTTTTATCGCTTTCATCCTATTTTTTTTATCAGAACCTTTTACATCTCATGTTTCTTATCAAAGATTTGCTTCATTTTCTCATCGTCCAGCCAAGGAGTCATATTTTTTTAAACAAAATCACCTCCTCAGGTTTGTCTGCATAAACCAGGTTGAAATTATTCAAACATCAAATTTTAATTTATATGTTTATATAATTCACCTAACTTAAATAAAACAACAGCTTTAATTGCTCCACCCGCATGTTGCTTTAATGCTTTATTTTAAAACAAGAAAGGAGAATGTGAGATGGAGYAACAATAAACCTTATGGCTCACTCACCAGAAACGTTCATATTAAGCCAAACATTAACAGCTGCTTTACAGATTTATTAAACATTTTATCAGTTGGACGTTTCACATGTTGGACAGTCTCACTGGACGGATCTCCTCCTTTTGTCCTTTTTATTGACGTCGATCAGAACATCGTTAACGTGACTTCACAGACGAGCACGTTTCCGTCACACTGACATCATTCAGGCTCCACATTTGGATCCACACTGGACACCGAGACTTCAGGGAAACAGACAACAATGTGATCATTATTCAAACCTGTTATTTGTAATCACAGAAATGAAACACGACCAGTTTAAAAACTCTCATCTATGTTTATAGACTGTGAGAAAGAAACGATCCATCTGGTGAAAACACACAAAGTTTCCACAGCTACAAAATAAAATAACTCATTACATAATCAAGTTTGTATCTAATGGAAGATTGATTAAAATGAAATAAATCTCATGTTTGCCACTTGTCCAGTTTGATATTTTTTTTATTTTATTCTCATGTTTTTAGGTGAAGGCAGGACAGGATGAGGTTTTGTTGCTGAGGCTGAGGAACCCCTGGGGTTTCATTGAATTCTGTGGCTCCTGGAGCGACAAGTGAGTGAAAGAGGCACACAGATTATTAAACTGCACAGATTACACAATCTGCACTGACTCTGAGGTTTTGTTCTTTCCATCACCTCAGGTGTAAGGAGTGGGAGGTCATGGAGCAGTCAGAGAAAGAAAGAATTGAGCTGAAAATACAAGAGGATGGAGAGTTCTGGTACAGAGGAGATTTTAATCCTTTAGAATAAAAAAACATCACATTTAGAGCTCTAAATGACTGTTTTCATCAGGATCAGCGTCGACGACTTCAGCAAAACTTTTAACGTGGTGGAGCTCTGCAGTGTTAGTCCTGACTCTTTGGATGACGTGGACAYGCCCTCCACTCAGTCCACCTGGACCATCAGCGAGCACAAAGGGTCCTGGGTACCAGGAAGCACCGCTGGGGGCTCCCGCAAATACAACAGTACGTCCAGGACCCGGCCAGGACCTCAAATCTGCTCCTGTATCCCTCTAAACCAGCTCAAACCTGTGCTGTTTTTTTATGGGGTGCTGTTTGTAAAATTACACAGTCAAAACTTACCACCAACATTTTTGTTTTCATTAGCCTTTTATAAGAAAAAAGAACAGATTTGTTTTTCAAAGTCTGTTTTTCACCATATGATTCATACATTTATAACTGTCATAGTTATTTAGCTAGCTACTTAAATATTTAGGTTGCAACTTAAATATTTAGCTAGCCACCTAAATATTTAATTTAAATATTTAGCTAGCTACCTAAATATTTATCTTGCTAACTAAATATTTAAGTTACAACCTAAATATTTAGGTATCTAGCCAAATACTTAAGTTAAATATTAAGGTGGCAAGCTAAATATTTAAGTTGCTTGCTAAATATTTAGCTTGTTAACTAAATATTTAATTTGTAAGTTAAATATTTAGTTTATAAACTATGACATTTATAAATGTATGAATCATATGGTGACAAACTGACTTTGAAAAATTAATCTGTTCTTTTTTTCTTATAAAAGGCTAAATAAAACAAAAATGTTGGTGGTAATTTTTGACTGTCTAATTTTACAAATGGCACCCCATTAATTTTTTTTAACCTCAGAGTCCTTCTGGAAGAATCCTCAGTTCCAGCTGGTGCTCCGAGAGCAGGACCAAGATGAGGAGGAGGAGGACGAAGAAGACCAGGTGGATGAGGAGGATGAACTTGACGAGGGGGATGAGGTGATTACCGAAGAGAAGAAGAAAGCAGAGAAACAGAAGCAAAGAGCCAAGCACTGCACGGTTCTGGTGGARCTGCTGCAGAAGAACCGCAGGCAGAAAGACAAAACCAACTTCTTGTACATTGGTTTCCACGTCTACAAGGTCAGAACAAGCTTCTTCTCACCCTCACCTCCTGATTCATGAGGCCAAATACACTCATCTGTTGTGCTTCATCTCTTCTGCAGGTTCCTCCTGAGGTTTGTGTCTGACATTTACAAATGCTCCTGATCTCCTGTAACAGTTTCATACATGCAGTGGTTGTTTTATCTGTTCACACTCTGCTTCTCTTCACAGATGCAAGGCGCCTGTCTGAGCCGCAACTTCTTCATGCAGAATCGACCCGTGGGTCGTTCTGGGTCGTACAAAGCTCATAGGTGAAAAACCTTAATGTCTGAAGCTGGCGCTGACCTGACAGAACAGAGGGAAGTTATTCTAACATTTCAAAACAAGCTGCATCAAAAAGTGTTTCTCAGCAGYACGATTAAAGGATCTGACAAAAAGTTTTTGTTCTGTCAAAAGATTTCTGTGCAGATCCAGGATATTTAAACCACGTTCAACATTAGAGAAATTAGATTGATAACATGGGTTAACATGAAATGCTGAAAGACTTTGTTCCAATTTGCTTAAAAAGTTGAAACTGACTTATTTAAAACTAAGGAAACACTAGCTAAAAGGAAATGAAAGCCAAAGGCAGCAAACAATTAGCTAAAAGCTAAATGTAACAAATGGCTACCCAAAAACTAAAAGCAGCAAAATGCTAAAAATAAAACCAGCAAAAAGCTAGTTAAAAGCTAAGCTAAAAAAGCAAAAGAGTAGCTAAAAGTTGAAAAATGCTAAAAACACAATATAATTG